ACTTTTAATTGATGACAAAAACAGTCTACATCTCTGTAGTGAGAAAAGGTATAAAAATTATATACCTATGTGATATTATCCTAAACACTACTGTGTAATGATTATCCAAATATCTCTTAATTTTTACTTTATTATTTTAGAAATGCTGAAAGAACATCTAAAGTACCAGTTCCCATGAAAGGGCAGAGTATGTTTAACATCCTTATTCTAAAGGCACACATTGTCCTTGTCTATAAAATGTAGAGATTATAAATAGATAGATTATATATAGATTTCCCCCATATATAGGTTATATAAAGGTTATATGTACAAATATATACACACAGTTTGTGTACTTTTGACAAGTGGAATTTTTATAAATCACATTAGGTGCTTATTAAAGAATTAAAAAGAGCAGAAAACATACAAATAGAAGTGGTAATAGAGGAACATGGTTCAAACCTGAGCTGTAAAATACAGAAAAAAAATGCCAATTTTGAGCTCCAACAACCAAAGGCTCTAAGTATTCACGCAGGTATCTATTGGACGTTACCAAGAAGATAGCAACATAGCCCTACACTATGCTAGTTACAAATGACTTGATCAAACAATAAAAATAATTTAAGGTTTTAGTGTACGAAAGTGTGTATACATGTAACTGGGGTGTTGATGATTGTTTACAGAGGTTGGCAAGGGCCAGGAGGTGTTTCACAGAGGGTGAGACTGTTTTACAATGGTGAGGTGCCATCTTTATTTAATCTGCTTTTTATGAAAACTAGGCTCAGGATTTCTTCTAAAGATCTATCTCCAATCAGGTCCTGTTGCAACCAAGTTTCTACTCCCTTATTTCAACATTTTCAGATCCAAGGAATCTGGCTAATAAAATCAGCCATGCTTACAGGGATGCCTGTGGCAATCTCGTTTATTCCATCTGTCTTCAGCTTACTGCAGAACAAAAATAGCAAAGAGCGTTTCTTTTTATTTTTTGAAGATGAAAGCAGTAGTTTAATAAGCTACCTGCTGGCTGCAGTGTGTGAGGACATGAACTCAAAGATCCTTGATATTAAATATTTTAAAGAAAATGGGTATGGAAAGTCTAATAGTGGAAAGCAGGTAAAAATGAAGTTTAGACATAGTGCTTTTTATATACAATTCACTATGAAATTATCAGGCAAAATGTCAGATTCTGTTAGTCCTGTATAACTATAAGATGCTCTTAATATTGGATGCTTTGGGATTTTAGTAATGAACTAATGAATTCTCTTTCTTCAGTGACAAAGTAGACTTGCCACTGAGAAAAAAAAGGCCTGTGGGAATTAATGGAAAAGGTATTACCTAAAAGTTGCATTTGTTAATGCAGCATCTGAACTCCAGGATTTGCACGAAGGGTGCATTTCTGAGTGATGGATTAATGACTACGTGAAAGCAATTTTATCCTTTTGCGTTTTGCTTTCCCTTGATATTTGTGACTGTGATTGCTGCTGTCTTGTGTCACACTGGCTTTAGGGTGATAGTGACTTAAACCTTTTCTTTTAATACTCTTTGGTACAGCTGAGTAGGTTAAATCAGAGATTCCAACAAGGAAAGGGGGGAGAACTCTGTAAGTTATGAGAAACAAGCATAGCTGGCATATAAGGGGAGCCTCTCATTCATATGAAAAACATACCTTTTTTTTATAGTTTTCCAGTCCACTCTTCATATCCATAAAACCTAGGAGGAAAATGATATTTCTTCAGTTTCAAACCAATATCTTCCTGTCTGTCCTAGGTTTTGCAATCTCTTTATATTCAAAATGAATAGCATTCAATTTTCATTAAGTTTTCTGAAATCCTTCCTTTGGATTCTACTTCTGATTTGAACAAATAGTTGTTGCCTAGCTGACTAGTATTACTGAAGCCGCTTCTGTTATAGCGAGTGCTCGCTCAGGAACGAAGGCTGCCTTTCCCTGACTGATTTAGGAGTAGCAGGTTCTGTTAGACAATCCCGCAGGTCCCATGTAAAGGGAGTAGCACTCCCTTTACAAAGCTTGACAGTGGCAGAGATGAAGTCTCAGTTTCGAGTGCAGGAACCAGAATGTGAAATCAGGACAGCACCACAGAGCCAGAAATTTACACACATAAGCTGGTCGGCAGATCAAATAAAGCATAGAGTTGTGGCTTCTTCAGTGGACTTGAGAACGTGTAAATTACATAATTTGACTGAATAGCTTTGAGATACAGGAGTGCAGCAGGCAGTGATGTCTCCTCCAAGATGAAAAATTGCTGTTTGTCTACTGTTTTCCTTGTTTCCTGTTAAATAATTGGTATTATTGGCTGGTATATGGAGCAGGCATACCTATAATCCCAGCACTGTGGCCTGAGCATCACAATTTAAGACCAGCCTGGGCAAATCAGTGACTTATTGAGACATTATGTAAAAGTAAAAATAAATTTGGTTAGAGTTGTGAGAGGGCCCTGGGTTCAACTGTTATGGTGGATACATTGTGTCAATTTGAAAAGTCTTACAGTTTAACTAAGTAACTCAGCAGCTTTCTATTGAGGTTTAAAGGACACACTTACCTCTCTAGGATATTGTTCCTTGTGTCAGTTTTGAGAAGGTCAAAGTTTAGGAGAGTGATTCAGCAGGTGGTCAGGGTCCTTACTTTGTAAATGTCCTCAGCCTGAGCGAGAGGAGGGCATGGAGATGGTGTGAGTGTTACACCCACCCAAGAGTCATAGCATGCTTACAACACAAGGGAAAAACGAGGCTTGCTCTCCCCCACACACTTTTGCTCTTATTTTGCTGTCTTCTGCTGCTGTAAGTGTTGCCCCTGGACCATGCCACCCCAGCGAGAAGCCAGCTGATTACAGGCTGAAACATCCACAGACTGTGAGCTAAATAAAACTTTTCTTTCTTAACTTTAGGTCTGGGTATTTTGTCTCATCAAGGGAAAAATAACTAAGCCAAACTCATAGTGCCTTGAAACAATATCTATATAATAGAGGAGTACAAACATTTATGGATAATTTATATTATGATTGTGCTTGATAAATGGTTATTTTTCACCTGCTGTGTGATCATTGTTTTTGCTGATAGGTAGAAATAGGCTAAAATTGCTATCACACACTATATTGTGACTTGGAAAATTGACATTCTCTTCAGAAATTTGTTTTATTATAGAGGACATGGAGACTTTATATTATTTTATTTGCTCGGAGATTTATGTAAGATTACTAATATATCTGAAAGATAGGAAAAAACTGGATCTCAAAGGACTTTTTGGATAATGCGAGCAGTAGATGTTCACAAGTCTATGTGAGTAGGGCTCTTAGAGTACTTCTATATACAGGATAAGTCATGTTGAATATTTTTACATTCCTGGCCTGATTTTGGTCCAGAGTAAGGGGTAGTGTTGAAGAAGTAGAGCCACTCACAAAGGAAACTGTAGCTTTTCTTTCCTGTGGAGTCATCTTGGCAGGTCAAGAAATTTCTTTTAGCTTTGCCTCTGGAAAGTATGTAAATTACGTTTTCTTATGGAAAAGGCAAGGCTCAATAATTGGTTTGGTTAATAGCAAGGAGCTATGTCCCAATTCCTTGTGATTAACAAAATAAACTGAAAAGAAATTTGACAAGACTTTAGGTTTTTCTGTGACATTTCAGCTATGTTCTAGAGTATTGGCAATTTTTCAGTAATATCTTGAATTTGGGTAGGACTTGCAGTGTATCATGTGGTTCAGGATGTCCAACTTTGGGTTGTTAATGAAGAAAAACCTTTAGTTGATATGGAGGAAAGTGAAGAAAGTTCCTAGTCCTTCAAGAATTCCAGCTACACAAAGGATCTGCATAAAATGAAGGAATTTCCTTTAATTAAAATTAATTGATACAGGCAGTACTGAATTGGTACAATATTGAAATAAATTTTTAGATCTATATCTTGAGTTTTTAACAATGTATTTCTTGGGAAATGTATTTCTAGTAAAGACTTACATTCATTTATTACATAGTTTGCTGGCAAAAGGAGTTAAAAGAAATCCTTATAATTTTACTGGGCATTCAATCTCAGTTGTTTTCCTCCACTATAAGTAACTGACAACTTGTGATTTATGGATCTGGAATAATTGAATTTCTTGGCTGTCATACTCTTTGTGTAAGAAGCATTACATATGTTTCAAGTGAAAATGATTTAAAAGAAGAAGAGTGAAGTGATGCCAAGCTCTGAAATTTTATTTGAAAACAGTGTTGTAACCAAAAAGTACTTAAAATGTTCCCTTTAAACTTCTGAATCGTGTTTTTTAGATAACTTTTGAAAATATATCTTAGGGCATATGGTTTTAAAACATGCCCCAGTCTTTGGGGGGCATTTGGGATTCAAGCCATAGCGTCTTAAAAACGAATTTATGACCTTGAGCGGTTTCCGTCTATATGTGTGGGTAGTGTTAAAATTGGCTTCTTTAGATCATGTTCAAGAGTTTTTCTCAGTGGTTCTAAATGAGTTAGTATTTCCCTACCAAAGGAACAGATAAAAATGCATTGGGCATTTATGGTAGTTAAAATGAAAGGAATGTCCTAGCCTTTAGTGAGGGGGGACAAGAAACACTAAATGGCCCTAAATGTAGACAACAATCTTCATGATGAATTGTTATCCATCCCAAATGCCAATAGCAACCAATTTGATAAATTCAAGTAGTCATCAGAATTGTCTAAGTAATGTCCTTTTATTTGTAAGATTTGTGACCTCAGTCCTACCTGTAGTTAATTCTATCTTTTGTAATCTCAACATTATTTCTTTGTCTGTCTTGAGGGACTTTTTTTTTTTTATTGTAAACGTTTTGTTCTGTATCTTCTGCATGTGAACACATTCTATTCTTTCCTGTCTCAGATAATGTCCTTTCTGTATCCCACATCTTGTAGCCACGACTCTCTCTGTCTTTTTTTTTATTTGTTTATCGTCCTCTGCCCATCTCAGACTAGCACATTCATTTATCTATCTATTGGAAGGCAATATTTTTGTATTGTAAAAGAAAGAAACCTGATACCATACATAGTTTCAAAACACACCATTTTATTACAGAGACTTATCAGTAGAGTCATCATTCCACTTTAAAACCATTATGAGTGTGTATATCTGTACACACACACATATACATAAACACATACACATTTTAAAATTTCTAACGAGAGTCCACTTTGATTCTTTTATGCTTATTGTAATGCCACGTCTTTTCAGCTCGTCTCTGAAGCATACCTTCACAACCATTTGCACACATTTTCCCCTAATGTAATGCCACATTACTTTCCCAAGAGTAGGTTCATACTAAAACTATAATATAGTCACTTACAAAATTCTATTTCATAGTCAGAATGTCATCAAAATTAAATTTTCATTAACTGAACAATATATTCTGAGCTTCACTCACTGATCTCAAGAATCACTACCCATCCCAAATAGATATTACAAATAAATGCCAAATTGATCCCTGAAAACATTAAGTTGAAATAATTACATTAAAATATATACCTACACTTGCTTAAAATTACACTGTGGACTATTTGGATAACTGCAATGATTGCATCTCTTTGTAAGTTTATGTCAAAGCAGTGATACACTTACTTTTGTCTTTTAATGTATGATTTTATAAATTAATTCAAAAGACCTCAAAATATCTTACTAATGTATTATAATCTTGTATTGCACAAACATGTTGACAGAGAAATGCCACTGAAATTGGAGGTGGTGGTTTATTCTTTCAGTAAGAAATTACATTCTTGCTCAAATTTAGAATCAGGTACCTACAAAATTTCTGCATTTTATACTTCATAATTCCAGTGGGAAGTATCATACTAGGGTGTGGAACCAAATGAACAACAATGATGTTGATTCACTATTATAATTCGCAATTATGGGTATTTATAGTGTATTACATAACGAAGTGATCCAAATTAGTTGGGAGACTTCAAAAATTACATGGAATAACTGTAGTCCAGTTGTTTCTGAAGAATGACATTAAACTTTTAAAATTTGTTCAAATATATTAAATTATATTCATGTTGCAAAACAAAAAGAAAAAGATTGTGACTAACCCCCAAATTTTTATTTCTTAGCATAATGAAAACCTAAGTCTGTTTACAGATTATAGCATGTTCTAATTTAATTTACCTATAGTTCAGTAAGTAACTCATAAAAATTATTTGAAAATTAATTAGCTTTGGGGAATAATAAAATGCACATACATTAGGAGTTATATAGTTTAAAATATTAGATTTTTTGCCTGTTGACAGATACTGTATTTTTACAAATATTTTCAAAATTATGCTATTTCCTTGCCTATATGTATGATTGGTTGGTGTTTTAACATTCCATTATGGAAAATGATTAAATCTAGCTATATGGATATCAATTTGTCATTTTATTTTCTTTTACAGAGAGCGTTTTCAGATTCTTTGGTTATATGCTTTCTTGAACATTGTCTCTAAGTATTATTACATATAAACTGTAAAATAAAAGAAAACAAAACACCTCAAAATCATAGCAAAGCTAATTTTAACTTTATCTGGGGTTATACCATCTGACCTTCTGCATAATTTAACTGGTCTGCTAAGTGTTTGAAATATAATTATCATGAATGATTGTGATCCATAATGTCTTGCTTATATGTATGAAAATATATCATTTAGAGTTGTGTTTATAAATAAATCTTAATACTTATTACATAAATAACATAACAGTAAAATAACTGCATACATAATCTATATTTATATTACACTATTCAGATCAATTAGTTCCATAAATATCAGCAACAGTAATATATATAATAGATATAATAATAGAAGAAAAACTGACAAATTTGGTAGAAATTCAATGTTATTTTTTTATGGGCATAGAAAAGCCTTGAGGGCTAGGCGTGGTGGCACACACCTGTAATCCCAGCACTGGGGATGCTGAGGCAAGAGGATCACTGCGAGTTCATGACCAGCCTGGCTACAAAGTGAGTTCAAGGCTACCCCAAACTGCATAGTGAGATCCTGTCTCAAAAAGCCCCCCACTTTTCCCCGATAAAAAGAAAAGAAAGAAATGCTTTGAGCAATTGCCTTCTCGTCTCTGTTCGAATCCCTTCAGAGAATCATGATTTCTTCTGTACAACCTCTTTATATTCATTCATGTAACTATAAATATATGCTGTATATATTATTTTATATTCACAGTATAGATACATACATACTTTATTCTCAGGCTCATTCATGAACATGCAGGTCGGTCTGCACAATATGATCAAAATGTGGAATTTTCTTATAGAATATTTACTTACAACTTTTCACTCTTGTTCAAAAATGCAAAAATATCATACAGATTAATATTCTCTCTCTAAAAAATCTCTTCTTTATGCTTTATGTTTTTGTAATTTACAAATAAATTATGAAATATAATCCAATCACAAATTGAAAATAATTACAATGTTTTTTATAACAAGGCATTGCTGAGGTTTTGAATTGTGGCATTCTGGAAGCCACCTGTCTTTCAAAACAAAGACATCAACATGTTATTGTTATTCCTTGATATTTGTACTTTTCAGTTACTCATATGAAATATATAATTACAAATCTATTACTCATGCTACTCAAATAGTGTTTTTGAAGAATGTGGATCTTATTTTTGTTTCATTACATTTTTCCTGAAAAGTCTTCTTTAGAACAATCTGGAAAGTCTGTTAAAATTACTAAGCTAGGACATTTCTGGAAAGTTCTCTGCCCCATCAAAAGGGCTGGAGAATACTTGACACAAAATTAAGGAAGAAAAAATTTAGTGGCTACTCAAGAGAGATAAAACAAATTGTAAGAGCCATTTTATTTTATCCTCTAATCCTCTGATATCTCCTTGCCTCATATGAACATACTACAGTGTTCAATTTTTAAGACATTGATTATAGTCTTCCATTAAATATCAGTTGTGGTCCTCCATTGCTCATGTTGTCTGTCATTTCCTGTTAGGAAAATAACATGAATTAATTACAAATCATTGTCAGAGTAAGACATTGTTTTCGGTTAATAGGTTTGCAAAGCAGATATTTCAAGCCATTGAAAAACATTTTTTAGGGGAGGACAAGGGTTGATATTGTTGCTGCATTTTAGGAAGTGAAGTTTCATGGCATCTTGAAGCACATGAAAATGCCAAAGTGACTGTCTGTTTAGAGAAAAGTCTTTTACCCATAAAATCAGTTCACTGTCTCTCTAATTCACTGAGTTTCCTCTTTCTTTACTCCAATCTATTTTGGGGAGATCTTGCCTGGAAAAAAGAAGATGGTCAAGTGGCCAAGTTTTCCCAAATGCACAGGCTCCTCTTCTGACCATGGCTCAAAGTGCCAATAACACATTTCACAGTTTATCTTTAATCTATGGAAAATGTGTGGCCTTTTGGTAATGGACTGAAAAAGGACCAAAGAGAAGCAATGTTGCTTGTCTGTGTATGTGGGTCACTACCAAATCACAGTAGGAAACATTGGTTTTAATGACATTATCATTTATACAGCAAAAAGCAAAACAGAGAAACCTCTTGGTGTGTTTTTAAAAGACCGATTACTAAGAAATTAAGAAGTACACAAGAAGGCATATAAAATATAGATGTAAAGGATAAACTAACATTAAAAGTTTCATTTGCAGTTATTATATGTATTGGTTTAAGAAATTTTAAAAGTTGGGAATTATATTTTATTTCGTGATAAAAGGTGGTGAGATATGAGGGTTATTCCTATTTATTATGGTTACTGAGCCATATTATAAAAATGTCGACAACATTTTCTGAGAATAGGTTGACAATATCTTTCCATATCTGAACAAGCCTATTTGCAAAAGAATAGGAAAAATATCAAGTGTAAATTTTTTTTTCTCAACTGTTCCATTCTTGTCTGTTCCTATGCTACTCCTTTTTGAAGAAACTATTAGATACATTTGGAGAATCTTCTAAAGATACGTATAGTGAAGATAGATCAGAAAATAGACTATGGTCACTGAATGGCTATTAAATTTGTTATAGTTAAGAAACTTGATTTGAGGCTTCATTTAAGAATTTCCTGTAGATGGTAAGAATACTATAAATCATTTTCTCAAAATTAACATCCACAAATTTACTCAAATATCTTTTCTTATTCATCTAATTAAAAGATAAAGAAAACTTTTTATTGGATTTATAGAAATAACAATCTTATTCTTGTGTGCCTTTCTTAAAAAGACTTTACCTTTTTTTTAAAAAGTTGCTTTAGAAACTGTAAAACTATATTACCAATATTTTGTTACATGATTTAAGAAAGTCTTTTCAATTTTACAAAATGAAATTTTCTTAACTAAATTCACCACAACAGGGACATTGTAAAATTACTGATAGTAAATAATAATGAATATTAGTTTAAATAGATGAATCTTGTCAATTTATTTGCAAATAGGCATGTCCAATTTAATCAGCAGACTGTATTTTAAGTTTGGGCAGGACAAAATGTGGATATTTACAAGTGAACATACTTTCTGAAAATGAGTTGTAATATATATATATATATATATAACTTTCTCTATTTCTAATTGCGCTGCTTAACTAAACCTAGAAATTTTACTATTTATTTTCAGCAATTGGAAATATGGAAAATGTGTCATAATGGATAATTTTAACAGAAGTACCACCCTGTATAGAAGTTTTACTGTGTTAGTGCCAAAGTTTGGCTATTTGTTCATGCAATTTTGGCATGATGGAGATACACAGTTTGTCTTTGTCCAGATTTGTTTATTATTAAAGGCAAAACTCTGGTCTGTGAATGATATTGAGTCATAATCATGATGCAGCAGAGAATACAAGGAATCAGGAATCATCCAAACAGAAATGTATTTGGATGCTTTAGAAGCAGGCTGAATATTTTAAATACTCAACCAACTGTGAAGCTCAAGACACTACCATGGTGGTTCATGTCAGTTCCTCGAAGTAGCCTTTTTGAAAGCGATGCTTTGAGGAATAACATCACAGCATCAGTCCAAACTGATCTGCTGACATCATGGCTTCATAAAAGAGGCATTGTTTCCTGCAGCGACATCACAACATGGTAACTCCCTAGAAATCAGCGTACCTTGTAGGTAACTCTGGTGTCGGGGGTACCACCGGACAGCTGGGCAAGTCGGTTATTTCAATAGCCCTCAATCTCTAATGTAAATATAACAATTATACAATAAATATTGCACAAACACACACACAGAAAACTAAGTCACACTACTATAAAAATAGAGCACAAAAGAGCCGCTATCTAAACATGGACTCATCATCTGCTTTCACTGATCATCTATTTAAATGGTCAGTCCTGGTGTTTCCCACTAATTCTTTTCTGAAGTACATGCATACAACTCTTTAAAATCGCGTTCTTGGGACAAAGAAAGAGCATTTGCTGTCATTACGTATAAGTTATATACTGACTATAAACATATAAACTACAAAATAAATACTTTTTAATTTCAAAATAACATTACAAAGAAATATGCAGTCATTATTTCTTTTATTCTATGGTTGTACAGTTTTATTTCATAATATAAAGAAAAGTGTAACTTGGCCATTATCTTAGTGAGTTTATTTCACAGATGCTTATCTTTTCCTTAACAGATACAGTAGCAGGAAATGAATTAAGAAATATTTGCAAGATGTAGTAGAAGCACAGACCTCTCTCTGTACCATTTGTCCTTTTATGCAATTAATGTAACTTTCCGTTTGAATGGGTTTCAAGAAACAATTATGAAAGGGCCATTGTTTAAAATATAGTTAAAGCTATCCAAATATTCATGAAGTTAAGATGAGAATTAAATGAAGCTTTATAGGAATTATAATATCTGCACTGATGGACAAGGCTTTTTGTCACCTTATTAAAGAGTTTCTTTATGCTTGAGTATCTAATTTACATAATCAGATGCATCTACTTACAAGCACAAGGACTGGGCTAGAGAAGGGAATTCATGCAATTTCTAAAACTGGCCTTATTGAGTAGAGACTGTATTTAATTTATGTGTTTTTCCTCGGTATAATACATAAAATCCATATTTATAAGGTATTCAATATTTTATTAAATGCTATTTTAGGAACTGTGTTTTGAAAAGACCGAGAAGCTATGATGGGAACAAATGCACTCAAGAATTGCAGAGGAAAAGTAATTTTTAGAATTCTTACTCTTAGTCCAATAGGGTACAATGTACAAACTCCAAACCTTCCAAATTGTCATCTAAGGCTGCAAACTGATTCACTCAGACTGCCGTCTTCATCACATGACAGCAGTGGGAGGCAGAGGCACAAAACTCACTTTCTCGGCCATTTCATGAGAGTGATGCAAGGAGTGCTCCCTTTCGGAGAACATCCTCCTCTGTTCATAGCTGGCCAGGCGACAGGTGAGCCAGGAGGACAGAGTGCAGCCCCCAATCCCAATGCACGCCAGGGACATGGAGGCCAGATGCAGAGGATACAAGGAAGAAGTCTTCTTTGTGACTGCCCGAAGGAACTGAAAATTTAGGATGCCCCCAATGAGTCCACAGATACAACAGGCTGAAAAGAGGATCATCTGGTAAGGAAAAAGAGAAGTGGGCATTACATTTGAGGAGGCAAGGACTCCAGAACACACTGCCAAGCGCCCATGCGTTCAGGATGGCTAGCCCACAAGAGAAGGTGCTCCTGTGTTCCCTGGAGGCAGGAGCTCGGCTGCCAACTGAGATTCCACTCAGTCTGATTTACTGCCAGGACGTAGTGTATAGTGTCTTAGAAATTGAAGCCAAGGTTACATTTTATGAAAATTCTGAAAAAATTTTCTCTTAGCCAGTTTCAGATTTAAATAATATTAATTTAACATGTACTCTGCCCTGCTATGCTAAAAATTATAATGGGTATCATCTTAATAAGCCTTCCTAGCAATACTCTGAGCGAGATACTAATATATAGTCCAGGAAAATGAGTGGTCATTAATGAATGATGAGACTCAAATTGAGAGACTGGACTCAGATTTTTCCAAATAACATCCCATTTGACTATGTCAGTCCTCTCAAAGTATCTAAATATCTTACTTTCACTGAATTGACATTAGTCTTTCCTAACTTCAGATATTTGTGTCTCTCTACCTATTTGAATTTAGATAATTTAGTTAACTTCTTTTTTGTCTTCATGTATTTATTTTTTTGTCTTCATTTTGTCTTCTGAAGACAGAAGGATGAACAGTTATCTGTGGAGTAGGGAAGAAAAGAAGGTAGCCTTATCAGGGCTGTTAAAAGTATCCTTAATAATGTGACATTTCAGTTAGGTACATGTAATTCTCAGAAAGGGTCCAGGCATAGGTACATGGAATAGCGTAACAAAAAGCTTAATTGTCAGAAAGAACTACAATACTGTAGTTTGTTTCACTTCTTCAATTTAAATGGACATTGCTTACTGTATATCTCTTATAGTACACATCATCATGTGTGAAAACTATCATATTTTTATTCTTGATTAGATACAATGCCCAAAATTGTTTACCAAATAATGAAATCATCCTACCAAGTAGCAACCAGCAGTTCACAAGTTTAAGTAGTACTAATCAGTTGTGTTTAATTGTAAGGAGTATTCAGATAAAATGCAGGTTCTTTGGAACAAATTTTGGTGCTTACTCATTCTCAGAAAATGAAAAGCTCTTACACACTTGCCTTCGAATAATGAGCTACTACTAATTTGGGTGTATTGTATGCAGGTGCAAACTCCCTATAAAGAATGTGACCATTGTGTGTATCAAAGGCTTAGCAATGAAATTAATTTTAAAAAAAAGAACTGTGAGAAATAAATTCCTGTTGTTTAAATCAAAAAGCTTAATTTTCTATCACAGGAAAGCCCATATGTCTCCCAATATTTTTTGCATTAATTTCTTAAACATGATACTTCATTAACATGTAGCAACAGAATACTGCACCTCTACACTAACATACTAAAATGTGCATCCCAGTTCGTAACTACATAGTATTCAAACCACACAAAGTAAGAGATTCTAGACTCAGTGATATTGAAAATACATTTTTACAAAATTTTATTAGAATATAGAGAGTCCTTGAAGCTAAATACTGTGAATGGTACCTCTAGAGTGTACTTTCTTGTGGTACTTTCTTGTGGTAGATACATCTACCATCAGGCTGGTAGTTTCTAAATGCTCAGCTGTTATAATTCTAGTCTTTTATAATTTATAAAAAGAATTATAAAGACATAAAAGAGATGTTAGTGCCTTTTAAAATCTTCCTTCCTTCCTTCCTTCCTTCCTTCCTTCCTTCCTTCCTTCCTTCCTTCCTCCTACGTAATCATAAAGACTCTTGGTAAAGGAAGGGTGCAGAAATGGGAAGATGAAGTCTAGAGAGTGTTGGGGAACTCAAATGCCAATTACAAGTGTCCAAAATCACACTGGGTCCCTAAACTTTCCCTCTATATTTTTTTTAACTTTGTGTCTTACCTGTCTACGGCAGTGAGTGATGTATCCTTTTGTCACAATATGTAATATTGTGACAGAGAAAGGCATTATTAGCAAAAGAGGTACAATGAGAACAGCTGCAAATGCTCCACATTCTCCGCCATGCTCCACTACCTCCCCTCTCCTTTGAAAACTCTGTAAGTTCAAAGGCTACTTCCTAGGTTCTTCATATAGTGCTGATTTTGCCAATTTGTGAAAGTTTATGATGCTTTCTTTAGTATTCAATAAAATAAGCTATGCATTTGTCCTTCTTTCCAAACTCTCATAAAGTGTCATGAAAGGCTGAAGGGAATCTGTACTTCAGCATTCAGGGTTCCCCTCCGGCTACTATCAATTGACTGGGTGCATGTTCCCTGCCCCAGGACCCCATAATAGTGTCAGAAAACATCTGAAAGTACTTACACATGTGCTCACAGTAATAAAGTAAGATAAAATAAAATATATATTTAAGAATCAATCAATCATACAGCTAGCTGTCTTGCTGCTTTGCAAAATTAGATTCACAGTCAAAGAAAGCCAGTAGTTCTTAGACCCATTCCATATATAACCAATTAAGTTTCCTGTAGATTAAAACATGACCATTTTTTATTCACTGAAGGATTCAGATAATTACCTGGAAGTCTTAAAGTAGGATACTAGGGAATGTCATACACAGCACACATTAAAATGTACATATTTATGTGTTTAAGGAATGTATCAAAGATTTTTTGTGTTGATATTTTATCACAGTCTGTAATCCTCTAGTTTTTAAAATAATGATAAAATCAGGAATTATTCATCAGTCCCTTCTTTTTATCCTAAATTACTAACATTCAATACATGAAATTTGACTAGGCATCATTTTCATTCTGGAATGTTTATGTTTCAAATACTCCAGTGTACAATAGAAACAAGCAAAACTTACGACAAGTCCTGATTTTTTTTTGGCGCACAATATCCCACATATGCCACAAAGGAGAAACTGCAAAAGAAAAGAAGAAACATTACTCCATATTCCAACATGTGAGAAACCCTAGGGTTTAGTTTATTTCAGTTCACTCATGACACTTGCTCCAGGAAATTTAGAAGTTTTAAATTCCCAACAAAAGTTGGAAAGTGGAGTAGTAAAATCCAAAAAATGCACTTTCCTTTGGAAATTTACTTCTTTCAAAGCTGATAAAGGTAAATAGGATTTTAAAAAACCAGAATTAATTTGTCATCAGAAAAATTTGTGCAATAAGTAAATTTAGAATTTTTTTCTCTCCTATTTTCTGTCATTGTCTTCTTTTGCTGGTCTACTTTCTCAGGGAGAAAAATGTACCTTCACTCATACTAAGCAACTAGAACTGAATAGGTCCTACAATAGGAAAGGAATCCTGCATAAATAGAAACATGAAGCATGGGCAATGAGATGTTCCTCTAAAGAGACTTGATTTGTACCTCTCAAATTGGTACTATGGCTCCATCATTCTACCAGAAAGGCTGCACTTACAAATATGTCGGAAGTGAAATACGGTACGTAGTTTCCTGGAAGCAAGAACACTGGTGACAGAATCGCTTTGCACAAGCAGCTACATCAGACCAACTACCAATGACAAACGATTTGGTTGATGGACATTTTTGCTGCTGTAAAATAATAAATAATTGAATTTGGGTAGAAACATTGAAGAATATTTTTGTACATACTTCTGATGAGCCAAACCATATAAAGTTTCAAATTCATTAACAAGTAGTAAACCCTCTACAGGCTTAGATTTGCAAAATTTGTTTCCACTTGGTTAATAAAAACATTTTTGTTATCTCAAATCAGCACTAAAAATATCTGGCTGTAAGTATTTCACATCTGGGTAGAATTTTTTAAAATATATTTCAAAATATTCTGACAATTATCTTTAGTAATATGCATGTAACAAAAACCAATAGATTTTGCTGAAAAATAATAATTAAGGGAAGCTGTTGTAAGAGAACTTACCCACAAGGAAGAAAAGAGATTATAAAGTAGACAGTGGTGGTGCAGGAACACAGGTGAAGAAACATAAGGGTCTATGTAAATTTATTGCATAAATTAGATGAATTTTCAAATTAGTTTAGAAAGGGTGAGGATCATTTATTCAATTGATAAAATTACATAATTTGTTATCTTCTAATGTCATACACCAAAATTAATATGAAACATTTTAATTATTTAAATAAATAAAAATTTATAGGCTCATTTGGAAATAACAAAGTTAAATATTTATATAATTGTAGAGGAGTGGGAAGAATTTCTAAATACAGCATTAAATTCCCAGACAAAAACAGAAGATACTTATAAATATTAATGGAGAAAATTATAACTTTGCAAGTCAAAAATGTCAGTCTCAAAGACAAATATAAATTGGAATTATGTTCAGAAAATATGTAACAAGTCAAGCATTCACATGCTGCATAAAATAGATCTGATACAATATTTATAGTAGCATAAAACCAGCAGAAGATAGAAACTCAGAACTTTTGAATCTTGAATACTTGTGTAATTTTCATCTTTTTGTGGCACTACAGATTTGACTAAGCTTAATCCTCACTTTTTTTGGACAGGATTTCCCTAAGTTACTAAGTGCCCAGGCCAGGCTAGAATTTGTGATCTTACTGCTGTGGTCTCCCAGAGTGGTAGGATAGGACTATGATGACAGGCTTCAAAAGCTATTTTTGAGTGTCTCTTTTGGCCATTTGTCATCGCCTTCTGTACCCCCGTGGAGAAGATCTTGTCCTGAAGTGTAGTCTTACTGATTCCATATTGTTTGGTGAAAGGCTGCAGTCAAACAATCCCAGTTTGAACCAGTTCTGTTCCTCTCCAAGCTTGAAACTTCAGCTCAAAGCCTAAACATGTCCTTTACTAAGCTAACTCTAACTCAACTTGAGCTAACTCAACTCATTCACCCAGAATTCATTCTTAAAATAATTTGGTAGTAATGTATTTGTGTATTTCTTAGATCTCTTTTAAAATAAATAAATATCACTATTATTTATTTACAATTGAACTCAAGGGACATTTGGAGCGTAAGCAGAGTTCTCTATCCCAGCCACATGATTGAAACATCTAAATGTATTGAAATTGCTATTTCCTGTTGTCCCATTTTACTTGAATAAATGTAAGAAATGGAAGATCAGCGTTGAAGCAAGGGAAGGCAGAGTAGGAGGAATATCAGGCAATATTGTTTCACACTTCCTCATCCCTGGAGTATAAATATTATCCAATAGTTATTGCTGTCAGAGCATCCAAAATTCATATTCTTTTTTTGGATATTTAATTTAAAAAGGCACACAATGGTAAGTACATAAAAACATAAAATTTCTGAGTAGGATCTAAGAAAACTCAGCGTAAGTTTAGACATTTAATTTACAGAGAACTAAACTGTACACTGACCAAACAGTACACTGACCTTTCATTCTATTGACCACCTTTATTTACCCCAAGTCATAGTACTGGAGGGGATCTTGAATGATGTTTTCACTTAGCACTCATGATTTGTACATGGTGACCTGAAGAGCTATATGTCCAGGTGAGTTAAGTGGACTGGTAAAGGTCCCACAAAGAGCCCAGGATTAAACATATAATTTGAGGTTTTATTAAGAGTCTAAGTTAATTTTTTCTAATAATATGATGGAGATGTTTTTCAAAAGGATTTTCTAGTAACAGTAAAGTGTGCATAATATTAGCAAATGTAACCAGAGGTGGTTAATGAACACATTATGCTCACTTATAATTGTCCTTGCCATATTAATTTACTGATTTATTTCTCTTTCTTTCTTTCTTTCTTTCTTTCTTTCTTTCTTTCTTTCTTTCTTTCTTTCTTTCATTTTTGGTTCCAAGGATCAAACTCACAACCTCATGCTTTCCAGGCAGGCACTGTGCTGCTGAACTCCTTGCCATTGTTAACTTTTGAAATAAAACTAATGAGAAAATTTGTCACTACATTACAGTCCAAAATTAAATGCATTTGATTTTATAAGGAAATTTGGTATAATATTCCAGAGTCATTTTTTGCCTAGCTTGATGTAACTTTATCTAGTATGTGAAATACTTACTTACACATGTCATGAAAATTAGTAAGCGAGCAAAAAACAAATTTCCTTAAGAAAGTAAATCTGATGGTTGGTTGTGTGTGTGTGTGTGTGTGTGTGTGTGTGTGTGTTTTCTCACACAGCTTGAATGAGATACGTGGTTTTACAAAAGAAATAAAATTTTATTTGAGAAGATGGGCTATTTAAATCTAGTTAGGGTTGTTCATTTTGTTATTACTACAAAGCAATATCAGTATAGCAATTCAAGGATAGAGCATCAAATGGTACTCTATGAAATAAAACTAATTAGTCCTTGAAGTAGAGTACATTTGATTCCAGTTTAGATTAGATTCCATAGATAGCCGAAGTTGTGATTCATGGGATAAAATGGAGCTATTATGCAAATAGCACTTTACCTTGAGTTGATTTTCTTTATAAAATGTCCATTAGAGATGTCTACTTTTGTTTTAAGGCTTAGAAAAATGGAAAGATGTCATTTCCACCCTAACAATTAACACAAGCTGATTAAATTGCAGAATGATCACTTCTTAATGGTTGAGAACTGAGATTTTATGGTAAACAAAAAAAAGTTAATACAAAGAGGGACAAGACTCTCTAAGACCTTCCAAAGAGTTAGAAGCAAACTGTGATACCCATTTAGAGCAGGTGGGGAAGAAACACTTTGATTATATGCATGCATGCCTTAGTGTATGAGTGTGCACATTGTGTGTGTGTGTGTGTGTGTGTGTATGGAAGGGTGTGTGTGCAAAACCCTGTGCCTATTTCAGCCTTTCTATTTTATGAAGCAATAGTCTTCTGATTTTTCACTTGATCTTATCCAGAAGACTGAGAAGCAATCAGGTTTTTGGCAAAGAAACTGATAATATGGTGGAGAAAAGATAGCATCATCAACAAATGATGCTGGCAAAAGTAAACATTCAATTATAGAAGATTGAAACTAGATCCCTATTTCTAACCCTGTACAAAAATTAAGTCAAAGTGGATCAAAGACAATATGATATCTGACACCAAAATTAGTTGTGAAAACATGGGGGAAATATGTCAAAATATTGCTATGGGCAATGATTTCCTGAATAGGTCTATGTTTGACAAAGTAAATTACATCATATTAAAAATAAAAAATCTTCTGCGTAGAAAAGAAAACAACAGAATGAAGAGACAATTCAGGGAATGAGAGAAAATCTTTGTTAGTCAAATAAGAATCCAATAGCTTAGGAAATAGTGACAAAAATTGACACGTGAAATTGTATCAAGTTAAAATTTCTTTACAGGAAAGGAAATGATTAACAGAACAATGATATACCCTGCAGAATGAAAGAAAATCTTTATCAGGTGCTCTTCTGACATAAGATTAATATATAAAATACATAAAAAAATCAAAGTACTTAATACCAAAAATACCAGATAACCCAATCAATAAATAAGAAAATGTACTAATGGGATGTAGAGATGATCAAAGTATGTTATAGATATGTACTAGTTTGTGAAAATTAAACTCATAATTCAGTATAACTAGCTATTTACCTGAGAGATGATTAATATCTTGAATATATAAAAAACTAAAAAAAAAACTTGGTACCAAAATAACAGTTCTCCAGTCAATAAATAAATGGGCAACACAGGCTAAAGTAAATAAATGGGTACGCAGGCTAAATAGACATTTCAAAGGATGTGGCCGGTAAGTATACGAAAAAAATGTTCAGCATTTTAGCAATAGGAAAATAGAAATCAAAACTATATTGAGATTCTGTTTCATTCAGTTAGAATAGCTATTATCAGGAAAACAAATATATCAACTTCTGGTGAGGATGCAGTGGGAAAACACTGTGTAACATTTATACACTGTCTGCGGGATAGAAATAGTTCAACTGTGTAAGAAAGTTTACTTGAGGAAAGATACTAAGAGGCAAAAAATAC